GCAGAATATGGTTCTAGTTAGGATTATTCGCGATTATACTCCCCATCCTTTTTTTCCTAAACAGTAATTCGCGAATATAGGTCCTGCTGTAGTTTGGTTTATTCGCGACGATATTTTTTCCTTTCCCAACAGTAATTCGCGAATATAGTGCCGTCGAAGTAAGGATAGTTAACGATTATATTTTTTGAATTATAAAATCAAGTTAAATATAATTATTATTATTATTTATTGTACTGATTATTGGAAGACAAGTTGTGTTTGCGTGAAATTGTTACACAAGTACAACATGTCTACTCTTGTCGAGTGTATGGAAGTGGCCATACAGCATGAGCTGACTGGGAAAAAAGCTTTAGACTGGGCTGACTAAAAGAACTCTGACCGAGCAGAGGAGAGAGAGAGAGAGTTAAGGAAGCTCGAACTGGAGGCTCAGAAGAAGGCTAAAGAAATAGAAGCTTTTACTTTAGAAAAAACAGTTAGCGGCCCTGGCAAAATGAAAGACAAGGAGGCTGCATTGAAACAGCAAGTGCTGGCGGCCAAGGCTGCATTGAAACAGCAAGTGCTGGCGGCCAAGGCTGCATTGAAACAGCAAGTGCTGGCGGCCAAGGCTGCATTGAAACAGCAAGTACTGGCGGCCAAGGCTGCATTGAAACAGCAAGTGCTGGCGGCCAAGGCTGCATTGAAACAGCAAGTGCTGGCGGCCAAGGCTGCATTGAAACAGCAAGTGCTGGCGGTCAAGGCTGCATTGAAAAATCAAGCATTAGCGGCACCGTCAGAATTAGAAGACAATAAGGCTGCATTGAAATAGCAAGAAATAACTACTCAGGCTGTGCTGAAAGACAAAGACAAATAGACATACAAGCTGCTTTAAAAGACAAAGTGATTGCTGCCCAAGCAGAAAGAGATAGGGTGCAGAGAGTGATTAGAGAGAGAGAATAAGCCAACTCGATGGCGTTGAAAAACAAAGAGACCATAAATAACGGTGAACTACAGAAGTAAAGGTTGGCAAAGGAACTCAAAGCTAAAGAGTTAGAATTAAATAGAAATGCTGAAATACAGATGGAAAAAGCAGAAGGCAGCTGAGTCATCACTAAAGAAATATCAAGGCCTAGTTAATTTTTTAAACCAGTGTGATTCCATCTCAGCATGGACTCAAATGTTTGAGTCTATGTTGAAACACTTTGATGTGCCTGAGACAGAATGGTCACTTATTTATAGTATACATCTGAGTGGTGAACCATTGAAGCTGTTAGAGACTATGCCTGTAGAAAAGTTGGATGACTATGCATTTACAACACTTTGCCTTAGATGAAGAGTCTTAAAGGAACAATTTGAGGAATATGTTTCCTAAACCTGAACAGACCTTCATCGACTATTTGTCAGCAGGTAGAGAACAATTTTGATAAGTGGATCGCATCGGCTAAAGTGGGACTATTTTTTGAACTGCTGAAAGATTTGCTGATTAGGGATAAGATGTTATCTAGTGTGCCTAACAGCATGATGACGTTCCCAATTGAACAAAAGCCAGCCACCATTAAAGGTATGGAAACAGCAGGAGGAGCTGATCACAACGCTCAAAAAAACTTGTTGCCTTCAGTAAAAAACCAGACTGGAATTATGGAGCAGCAGTACAACCCGTGTACTAAATTAACTAAAAGAGACAGTTTCACCATAGAGAAAGAAAGATGTTTTAAGAGATTAGAGACTGAAGATCGTATAGAGATAAGGGTCCGCGGGTGAGACGTATCTATTGCAAAATTAAAATGGTAAATGGCAGTCGTGTGAAGCCAACCCTAAACATGAACAACATGTTCAAAATGTGATAAAGAGAAAAGCTGACAGGATAGGATCAAGTGAATTACCTCGTGAATGTAGATACTGCCATGCAGTTGATTACCTACACGTCCACATCGTAGATAATTCCATCAGGGTGTTACAGCAGAGTGTTCAGAAAGTAGTGAAAGTGAAAGTATGATGTCTGATCCAGAGGTTCCTGTACAACCAACAGCAAGCGCTGCAGAACTTATGGATTTCATAGAGATGATTTGTGAAGTATGCAAAATATTCAATTCTGACATTTTTTCTCAAACCAGATAATTAGCTGTGATAAGTGATCCCCAAGCATGCTTTTATATTTCGAACAAGATCAAGTTCACTTGACGTCAACAATTTCTGTAATATTGAAAAACAATCTTTGCCTGCATCATCACTGAGTTTTCTTTTCCAGTTGGATTTATCTTTTTTTTTTCTTTTTAAGCTGATATTTTTCCCCCGTTGATTTCAAAAGGTGCATGTTTTCCCCCTGCAGAGAGCGATTAAGATAATTCAGCTTTTCAAAAATCTCGCACAAACATTCCCAGTCTGTTTAAAGAATCGACATCAGCAAAATATTTTGTATCTTTGTATCCTTTTTCTTTAAGGAAAAAAAAAAATTTCTTGTCGCAATTCAAAGGTACATGATAAAATATTACCACGAGATAGCCATCGTACACTGAGTTGTACAACAAAACGAGAGTTCAGCTCCCATATCCTTACACAGTTAAAAAAAAAAATAACTTGCCTTCAATGTACGAGATTTTATAAAGTTTATGATGTTCACCACACATTCTAACATCTAATACAATGCAGGGCTCAGATGCTTTGACGCCAGCGCTTCTCTATGAATAATGCAATGGGTCCACAGAGCATTTGGAGATTTGCTTAGAATAAGCGCCTGTAATCCTCCATAGCGGCGGCCAGAAATGGAGCGAGCTCCATTAGTACAGACACCAACATACTTAGGCCAATTTAAATTATTTTCAGATATGAATGTATCCAGAATCTCGAACATGTCCTGAGCCTTGATTCCTGCAGTGATATTGTTACAAAACAGCAGGTCTTCTTTAATATTAAAACCACCTATAAACCGTGCGAAGCTTATCAAAAGAGCATCATTATTAACATCCATAGCCTCATCTAACTACAATCTAAATTAGACTTCTTTAATTTTTTCAAATAGCTGATCGCTAATATCCTTTGCCATATGTTGTATTCTTCGACTTTTTGTGTTATTGGACAAAAGCACTTTTAAAAGCAGCTTCCCAGCAGACTCGCCAGTCATGATGTCCACAATATCTACAGCAGTCCGTAGAATAAGTTCTTCTGCGATGGTATGAGGCTTCTTTTGTTTGGTGACTCTGTAAGCACCCTTGTAACATGCTAGCAAAGCGTTGTTTAGTATTGACGCTGTTTTAAAAATTGTATTTTTGTTGTTGTTGCTGCTGCTGTTGTTCCAGTTAATTTAACTTCCTGACAAAAAAAAATCACGAATTTTACCAGCGACGCTGTGGTGATTAGCTTCTAAATGGCACTTTAATTTATCTGGAAGCATACACTCTGTTGCCAAAACTTTCCTATATAATACACATTGTATTCTCTCTTCTCCATTATTTTCTGTTAACGTAAAACCAAAAGCTAAATAACTGTCACTATATTTACGATATTTTCGTTTCTTCACACTCGTGCCACTGGTTGAAACATACTTTCTCTATCTGCACTATTACATTTATTACTGTTCAAAAATGGGTCCATTATCAAAGATACAAGAGCCAAAAATAAAAATAAAAAACTATTTATCAAAGACCAAGAAATAATATAACAACAAAGCGCTGAGCTTAACTTCACTACACTTAAATTGTAAGTCGACGTTGAGTGACTGAATCAAGCTGGTAACACTTGCTTTTATACTTTCCGCAAGATCTTCCAGAACATTACAAATCTATCGCAAGAATCTACACATTTCAATGTGTCTTGTGTCATCATGTGGCGCGACTGAGAAGTTGCATCGTTGCTGGCATGTGTTCCCAAAGACATTCTGCGCTGGCACCTTTATTTTCACGCAGGGTCAAATTTTAAAAATCACACTCACACAAAAATGAGATAATTATAGCTTCTCACGTTTTTGTTCCGATAGGACAAATGTCCTTGTCAAATTAATTATAAAGCTTTTACAATATTTAGTAGCACCCCTGTGAAGAGGTCGCGGCTGCCTGGGGCACCGCGACGCACAGTTTGGAATTCACTGCTCTAATGTATATATATTTTGCAAAGCCACGCATACGCTTACAACACCAAAACTAACAAACAGCAACACCTGTAAAGAACACTGAACTGTGATACGTACCCCGCAGATGCCTGTATATATATATATATATATATATATATATATATATATATATATATATATATATATATATATATATATATATATAAGACTGTTTACATTGCTTTGTGTAAGCTGTATCGTAGGTTTAAATATGTATACATATAAATGTATGATACAGCTTACACACAGCAATGTAAACAGACTGTTTTTCACACGAAATAAACTTTAAAAAATAAATAAATGACATTGAGTCACAATGTCACCGGGTGTTAGGGCAGTCCTGTTGTGCTCGTCAAATGGTATCGAACCGAGCACCCAGGGACTACGAAGGGCACCCTACATTGCCCGCTATGAACGATCAGGAAGGAGGATTGGAAAAGGGGGGGGGGGGGGGGGGGGGGGGTTAACTATTTTACTTCAGGATTTTTGTTGTTAAAATATTTAAAAAGAATTTTTCACCATTTTTTTTTTAAATTAACAAAAATTTTCCCTCTTTTTTTTTTTTCCACATGGAGGGAACCGTATCCACGATAGTCGTTTTTTTTTCCTTTTTGTTCCATGTGGAAGGAATCCTCACCCGCTCGGTGGGGTTTTTCCTCTTTGTTCTATGTAAAGGGACTCTACGTCGGATTGTTTTTTCCTTCGTTTTCAATGTGGCAGGTTATTACTATATGCTACAAAGCCAAAAACCTCGAAAAATGTATCATTTTTTAACCCCCTACACTACTCTCACTACGTACTACTGTATATCTCAAAAATGGTATTTTGATGTGCTCCGTGAAAATATCAAGTCCTAATCACACCCACCACATACACATACACAGACACACGCGTATACTGAAACGTACTGGTTATTGACAGGGTTGTAACCATAGTTCCAGCCTTCGGCAGGATCTCCGATCAAGGTCAACATTTCACCTGGGTTGAACTTGAGTTGACTCTCATTACTTGCGACATGAGCATATAGGGCTTTCACTTGCAATCCTTGTGGGGGCAGCGGTGGTAGCATTGTTCTTGAATTGTGCACCATCTGTCCTGGAATAGAATAGAATATAAATTGGAATAGAAAACGCTGTCCTAAAAGTTATTTATGCAAGATGGCAAATTTAAGCAAATTCTGTCAACTTCACTGTTAAAGAGCCAAATAGCGCCTAAACTATTTCGTGCACCGAAGAGAGAGAGAGAGAGAGAGAGAGAGAGAGAGAGAGAGAGAGAGAGAGAGAGAGAGAGACAGACAGACAGACAGACAGACAGACAGACAGACAGACAGACAGACAGACAGACAGACAGACAGACAGACAGACAGAATGAGAGACAGAATGAGAGACAGAAAGAGAGACAGAGAGAGACAAAGATAACTGAATAGCGATAGAAATTAAGCTTATGTAGGAAATGGAACGAACATGGCGAACTCTTTAAAAAAAATGAAAAACCTATTTTGAGCTATTTTATGTAGAGTGAACTGATTTTATATATATATATATATATATTTATATATATATATATATATATATATATATATATATATATATATATATATATATATAGCAATGTTTCATTGCTTGTGACGTATAGACTCGGAAACTACTGAGCCGATTTAGCTGAAATTCACAAGATATGTTTGTTTTGATGTCGGGATGCTACCTGTCATAGTTTGAAATAGACTGAAATAGGAAAATGTGTTGGAAAATTTTTCGAAACTAATATTTTTTTTCTACAGTGACATTTCATTAAAGCTACGTTCGTGCATGCGCAGTATTCGGGAGACACGCCTTAAATTCGAATTTTAACATCCGCCGGCGATATGTATTCATTTTCTGAAAAACTTTGCTGTGAAGTTTCATTAACACTTAAAGTTATTTCTTGAATATCTATCTAAGAGAAAACAATTGCCTGCAGTTTTGAGTTGTCTTAGAATCTAGAAATACAATAAATTTCACAGAAGGTAAATGCATTTATTTCAGTTACATGTTTTAATCTGTGTCAGTATGTACATACATATATTAATGTTTGTTTGTCTGTTTGTTTGTGTCATACAAACTCGGAAACTATTAAACCGCTTTCCCTGAAATTTACAGGATATGTTTGTTTTGATGTCGGGATGCTACATGACATAGTTTAAAATAGGTGGCGATAGCAGGAACTACATAGCTCCAGCGACGATCACATTGGCATCTTGGTTTTGTTTTCTTTCATGGCCGTGTTGCATGTGAGGTTGTTGACTTCAGCAAACTTTGACGGTTTACCTCAGATATCTGCATATAATCAATTTGCGATTAGTTTTTGACGGAATGTGTGGACATTTAACGACCAGTTGTTGACAGAATGTATGAAAACTTAAAGGTGTGGGAATATAAACAAATTGTAATTAAAGTTTTAAGAATATAAAGAATTAAGCTGTGCTCATTTTGTAATTATAGTGTAATTTTTTTTCCTATTCTTGTTGGTTTCACTTCCTTTTTCCCCCCTAACTCCTTCGATGAGGGAGAGAGTAGTCGGTGGATTGTGGGAAGAGGGTTGGGAGTGTTAATAGAAACTGTTGAGTCCAGCGTTATGCAATCTCTTCCGAATAATTCGACCAGACACATAATGTCCTGGAGGCAAAGCACGCGCAGTTGAGGAAGCTGTTGTACACCTGTCTCTGTGGTGACGAAGCCGAATAAAGCAATTCTCTGCTGCTGTTATATTCCACTGCGATTTCGGTTGTCAACTAAACCAGTGGCTTGGAACCGGTTCCAAAGTCCACTCCTGGTACTCTGATGCACGTTTTGATGCCTGGCAACCTGACTTTGACTTTCTCCTGCCTGCAATCGGCCAGTAGTATTTTGGTGTAGAGTTAGTTATCTTTTTATTGTGTTTTAGTTGCCTGAGCAGTGAATAGTGTTCAACCCAAATTGTGTTGCTTTCTCGTGCGCTCATCGTGAGCTATGCCCACAAATTTGGTCTCAAACACAACTGACCACTGCGTTGTAACGATTACAAAAACCCACGCAAGTCACGCCCACCTGTCCAGTGGACACGGTAAACAACACTTGAGACTTCTTTTTACGTACCCGAGTGCGATATTTTATTTACATACTTATAAAAACGTGCTGTCGGAAAACTGCCGTGGGATAACTACTCGTTTCTTTATATATATATATATATATATATATATATATATATATATATATATATATATATATATATGTGTGTGTGTGTGTGTGTGTGTGTGTGTGTGTGTGTGTGTGTGTGAAAGAGTGTGTGTGTTATTTCTGGTCTATTGTGATGTTCTGTGATGTTCATAATGTGTGAAAGTGCCTGCTATTTTTTCTGTCGCAACATTTTACAATTTCGGACAACCGTTATTTACAATACGTGATAACTCGTTCAATACATAGGGTGCCGACTTAGAGATCACGTTTACAGTTGAAATAACATTTATAACAGTGGATAACATTTACATGAGTGAGTTACCGATCTAAGGTAAATAAATGAACAGTCTACTACAAATCGGCTGAGGCTACATACCTGGGGAGGGTTGAGTGGGCAGATTGTACTCTGAGGGCGGCCGACCTGTCATATATTCTCCCTGAGAGGCTGCCTGGTTGTAGGGAATACTCAGTGAGCCGGAGTAGCCGTAGGTAAGTGTCATTCCACCGTTATTAAGGTTTCTTCTTGGGTCCTAGCGGATGTGTTATAAGCACAATCAATGACCACTGGTGTCAGTTAAGCACACAACTTTGTGCTTTAGGAAATATCAACACTCATTAATTCTCGATTGATATGTGCATTAGTCAATAAAATAAGACTGACATATGTCATTGTCTGAACAGCGCAAACAATATTTGTTATTACGGAATGTAGCAGTACGCCTACTTTTTATTTTGTTATGCTCATACGGAACACAAACACTCATGCGCACGTTCACACAAGCTCTGCCAACTGGAGGATAGTGTAAAATGTCTATTGAATGTTGAATTAGGAATCGACATCACACCACTCGGGAAACCCCATAAGCGCACTGTCACCATCTTCAGCAGCAAGCGAAGAGTGTTAATGTCTGATTGCCTTTCCCCTGGGTGTCGAGCGTCGGCCAGATCCCATTGTAACTCCTCACAGTGCCATTCTCCTCAGACCGTAATGATCTATCTGTTGCTCAGGGCTGTTCACTCGCCCCCAAAGGGCCCTCACAACATCCAGCTTGTCATACATCAGTTCACCACCAAGTGGTGCTGAACTGGCCAGTCTATTTGCATGCTCATTTCCCAACAAACCGGTATGATCTTGAGAAAATATCCAAAAGATGCTAACTACCCTGGACCTCTGAAGTGATGCTCGCCACTCTGCAGAAAGCATACCTGTCTCCACCTTTCTCAACATGCTCTGAGTCAGTTACAATGACAACATGTGTGTGCAGCTGATTCTAAAGCCAACCGAAGGCAGCAGTGACTGTCACCACCTCCATTCTCAAACTAGCCGTTGTGAAATCATACGCCAGGCTTTATTGCCCATGCGACGATCATTCGCCTTCGCAATGAACCCCCGTGCACTTCGTCTGCCCCTCAACACAGAGCCATCTGTATATACAGTCACATCACTTGGGCGGGAATTGTCATGAATCATTTGTTGAACTTCTGATTCTGCAGCTCTTGCTGGCCAGTCCATGCACTCACGTCCCAAAGTGATTAGAACAGTACACAAATCTAAATCCTGATTGGACACTTTGACCCACTCCTCTCCTCGCCTAAATTTATCAAGCCTGCACACATGTCTAGTTGTGTCTTCAGCTAGCGCCATCCAAGACTTTCCTATTTTCTGATGTCTATTCTGTATGCGAACTAATAGTTTATAGTTTCTGTACAGTTTTGACAATCTGGAGAAAGGGAGATATATCCGAATATAACTCATTGGAAGCATGACTTTGGGAGCACTGGGCACTCGTGGCTCTTGATAATCCTTACTCTGTGCCTTGATTTTGATCTGCCTTCGCTGAGAGTTAATACGTTTACCTTCATCTTTAGAGTTAATAATTTGTCGTTCTTATTTAAGGTAGCCACAGTGGTGCAGCAGCCAGACGCTCACCTGCGGATCTGAAGACCATGGGATCAGATCTTGGCGTAGCTGGAAGTGGTTTTTTCCGTTTTTTTTTTCCTTTTTCAAGAAATGACCTTAGATTTCAAGTGAACCCAACCTTAAATGTGAACACGTGTTGTATGTGATATACCCTATAGTTTTGCACATTTCGTAATATTTAGGCCTTGGTTACTAGTTTTGGTCTTTTGTATGTGATACTTTTTCAGTATCCACTACAATAAAGAGATAGTTAGGTAGTCTTGACCAGTTTAGGGTATTTTAGACAGTTTATTTCGTACTCTTTTATTTCTTATCTTCTTCAATTCCTTTTTTGTCACCTCGCCGTCTCTGCCTTATCATATCTATTTTTATAGAGACCTACAAGTATATATTTTTGAGTGTCCTGAAAGCTAATTTCTTTATTTGTTTCCGTAAATTCTCGTTACTATCAACATGTAAGCATTCTTTGGATGTCCATGACTTATTTAGTTTTTGAAAGTAGTCTTCCATGGGTTCTCTTTTCTTGTTATGTAGGGTGCATGTTAGCAGGTAGTGGTCTATTGTGTTTTCCTGAAAGCGGTCTAGGCATAAGGGTGCTGTAAACCTGGCTTCCCATTATCCAAGTCTTAATCTTCACAATTTGTTGTTTGCTGGAATTTGTAGGTTGTCTGTGATTTGTGATGTCAGAGTGGGTTCTCTCAATTATTCCCGACTACGTGTAACACTCATTTCCCACTGCCTCTTCTACGTTCTTGTTTTCTCCAGTTTGAATTGCCACTCCCCCCCCCCCCCCTTTTTCCGAATTTCTTTATTTTATGACTGCTGGTACCTCTTCTTTCAAAAATGCTCGCCATTTCGTTATCGACTATGCCTTTGCGCACTGCAATCCATACTATGATGATCTAGCATCAGTTGTTCCTAAGTCGTGGGATTAGTTTTAATACCTGTTCTTTAATATATGACCTGCTTCCCATAGTATAGTTTCCTATGATTGCACCGATGAAAGAGAATCTGTCATTACTGTCAATTTCAGTGGGGGATTTGCTGCTGTCTCCAAGACTGTCATTATGGTTAATTCGGCTGTGAGAAACTGACCCGTGACATGTGATTTTCTAAGATCTTGTATTCCCCAGCAAGGAATATAGACCCCTGGTCCTTGTCCTTTCTCATTTGTTGGATCCGTCAATCTACATTATCAGGTTATCAGTTTCAATGTTTCTAATTTGCTGCTCTGCTTATGTTTGGTACTTGTAGTAGATCAGTGTTTTGTGAAATCTGTTTTGCCAGGCGCATGTCTACGTTTAGTGGTTTAAATTCCGATAGTGGTATCTGCAGTTTATATCTCTTACTCTGTTCAAGTGTCCTTGATAATTCCTTTTTAGTTTTCATTTCCACTGCAGCATCCCATCCTGCTTTCCTAAGAATGTTTCTTATTGGCACCCTCTTCAACTTGTTTGTATTGGTGTTAAAAGCGTCACATGCTGCCTGATCATGCATGTGCTCGGTCTGAAGCCAGCAATTGCATATAAATTGCTTCTTAGATTTAACGCTGCTGTACATAGAGCTACTTCCACTGCTTCGCTTGACATGTTTTTACCTGCACCCATAATGGTGGCCAGTGCTTTGCCCTGTATACTATCTAGTTTACTACCTTGTGTGAAATCATTTGCTGAGTCCTAGACAATGCTTCCAAATTCTAGTTTCCCTCTCAGGAAAGATTTATGCTATTGTAAGAGAATGGCTTCAAGAGGGGCTTTGATAGCACTAGGGAATTTGTGGAGGTCAAGAGAAATTAAAAGAAATACTAAGCTAAAAATTTTTAATTCTAATGTCAAATCAGTACTATTGTATGGGGCAGAAACATGGAGAACAACTAAGTCAATTATTAATAAATTACAGACATTCATTAACTGGTGCCTGCGTAGAATAGAGGAAATTAAATGGTATGATAGAATAACTAATGTAGAACTTTGGGAGAGAACTAAACAGGCTCCAGTGGACCAAGAGGTGAGGAAAAGACGCTGGCGTTGATAGGACACACACTGAGAAAACAGGATAACAGCATAACTAGAATGTCTTTGCATTGGAACCCACAGGGGCATAGGAATAAAGGAAGGCCCCCCCCCCCCCCCAAAAAAAAAAACACACACGGAGAAGAGAGCTGGAGAATGAAGTTAGAAAGATGGGGAGGACATGGGGAGAGCTCCATGCAATGGCGAAGGATAGAACGACTTGGCGTGATTTGGTTGAGGGCCTATGCTCCACTGGGGGATAGAAAGGCAGAAGAAGAAGAAGAGAATGGCTTGGTGAGCTGACCATCCATTGTCTTTAATAAGCCTTAAAATTTTTATGATTCTTTTACATTTGTCGACCGTTGTATCAATATGTTTGCCCTAATTTAGCTGTTCATCCCAAATCATTGATAGAAAGCGTGTGCTCTTTACTCTTTGGATTTGTCTTTCATTGACTCTATTTGTAAAATTATGACTATCATAGTAGTGTTGTCTTTTGTTGTTAAATGTCATGCTTACTTTTTGCATTTATTAATTCTGAAACTCCATTTAATCATCTAATTAGTAACATTGACTTCTTTCTGTAATCTGTTTCTTGCCGTCATCACTGGTTTATCATCTGTAAATATCCAACAATCACTCGCAAACTATGTCAGGTTTGCTCTTGGGTCTTTAATTATCTCGTTAAGATCATCAACCAGGATTGAGAATATTGTTGGTAATAACACCGCACCTTGGAGGAATCGTTCTCCCGTACGTGAGTATTTGATCTGTCATTGTTAATGATCACTAAGAATGTCCTTTCGTCCAAGAAGCTCTTAATTGTACCTATATAATCGTCTACCTAATGGGAACGAGTATGTCCAAGAGAAACCTTAAAGTGAACATTGATGAGAGAAACCAAAGGTGCTCGACTGGATTTCAACTTAAATATCGAAGTGGTTTGGTAGGATAAAACGAAATGGCGAAATAGACCATCGAACCCAGTGTGTCATATAATGGCACATCAGGACGATGACTGAATCTTTGACACCAGATTTTGTCTGCCGAGGCATTTTCTTGACATCTGAATTCATCTGATTTGTATGCTTGTCGTTTACATTACTTGAAACTACGTCTCCGCTAATAATTTCTGTTGCTTTGCACATAGCTAGCACACATTTCTGTAACGGTTTATATTTAAGAACACCTTCTATTACTGTCATTATGCAGGATTATGAAATGTTGATTTCTGTGCATACGACGGCGCACAAATACTCACAATGACAGAGAGAAAAGCATCCGCTGACGGCGGCAGCACGTGCGGCTGTGAAGACATTTGCCTCCATGTGGCTATCTCATCAGTCAAACATTCGAGACCCTGAAAACATGCATACAGGAAATTCATGTACAACTTCATATTTAAGTACACTACCTTAAATAAATCTGTAATATCCAGTGTGGTTTTGGGACATATATATGTATGTATGTTTATATAAATATATATTTATGTGGGCAAAATACACATAAATTAAGTTTCTGTTCTGACCAATAAGCGCAAAACGTACTTAATTCGTGATATTTAAGTAAAATATGTCGACAGACAACTAATACTTTTATGTACACACACACTCTCTCTGTCGCTCTGTCTCTCTCTCTCTCTCTCTCTCTCTCTCTCTCTCTCTCTCTCTGATTTCACTCGACATCACAGTAAAGCGGGCATACCCATAGATGCTCTGTCTCTCTCAACAAATATCTTCCGAATCACACAAGTTGTACACGCATCGCACTTTTCCTAGCATACGTCTTTTCTTGTTTGTTCCACAATCAGTTCAACGTTCAAACATTTTTACACGTTATTTATATTAATCTTACGCCTTCTATCACCATTCGCCCATAAATTGTGTTCAGAATGCCTTCTTATTCCATTATGTGTGTTCGTGTAGCTATCGCCTTTGGGCAAAAAACAAGTGCTTTCATTTCCTCGCACTCCTGCATATCCTGGAAAGAATTTTTCTGTGAGTATCTGTAATGTTGATGTGCCGATGTTTGCTATCCACTCATGCCACATTTTTCCATTTGTTATCTTCTGCAGTATTACCAGAGAATCAATTTCTATGCTTCCTCTGGTAACTTTATTTTATGCTATTCACTTCCGAGCTGCAGCGACTGCCTCCAACTCCACCCTCAAACTTGAAGCCACAGATTAACCCCCCCCCCCTCCCGCCCCTTTCTTTCCCGCGATCTTTTCGTTACTTTAGCTGAAAACCTCAACCAGATTTCTCACCCCACCTCCACCCTTCCCCAACCCTACCCCAGCTGATCAGAACGATCAGCGTACAGAATTCTGTTTTCCAGCCCAGCTTTTTTGTCTGTCAGTTTATTCAGTTAATCAGTTATAATTCTATCATACCATTACACAAGCTCTAATTCTTCCTCCATATATATGGATTATTCTTTTTTTTAAAGAGCCAAACGATAACAAATTACAGCATACAACAAATGTCTTACTCTGTCGTGATATTTCAACTGTACACCAGCAACTGTTGTTAAATGTGAAAGAATGAAACAGTAACACTTTCTCTCTTCCAGAAGTGCCTGTGGGGAAACAAGATTTCATTTGGTTAAAAAAAAAAGCTCATACCTGTCCTCCAAAAGAGCTACTACTATTACTACTTTTACTAATAATACTACTACTATTACTACTACACCTACTACTACTGCTGCTACATCAATAACAACAGCAATAACTACATCAACTACAAATACTTCCTCTTCTTCTACTTTTTCTGCTGCTGTTACAACAACTAAACATGTGTGTGACCAGCATCTATCCCAGTATCATTTCTAACTCAAAATCCTAACACACAGTGACACATGTCCTGACATCTAACACACAGTGACATATGTCCTGACATCTAACACACAGTGACACATGTCCTGACATCTAACACACAGTGACACATATCCTGACATCTAACACACAGTGACACATGTCCTGACATCTAACACACAGTGACACATATCCTGATATCTAACACACAGTGACACATGTCCTAACACCTAACACACAGTGACCACATGTCCTGACATCTAACACACAGTGACACATGTCCTGACATCTAACACACAGTGACACATGTCCTGACATCTAACACACAGTGACACATGTCCTGACATCTAACACACAGTGACACATGTCCTGATATCTAACACACAGTGACACATGTCCTAACATCTAACACACAGTGACCACATGTCCTGACATCTAACACACAGTGACACATGTCCTAACACCTAACACACAGTGACCACATGTCCTGACATCTAACACACAGTGACACATGTTCTAACACCTAACACGCGTTAACACATGTCCTGACATCTAACACACAGTGACACATGTCCTGACATCTAACACACAGTGACACATGTCCTGACATCTAACACACAGTGACACATGTCCTGACATCTAACACACAGTGACACATGTTATAACACCTAACACGCGTTAACACATGTCCTGACATCTGACACACAGTGACACATGTCCTAACACCTAACACACAGTGACCACATGTCCTGACATCTAACACACAGTGACACATGTTCTAACACCTAACACGCGTTAACACATGTCTTGATATCTGACGCACAGTGACACATGTCCTGATATCTCAAGCTCGGTTAAACATGTTATGACACATAACACCACTAACACATGTCTTGACATCTAACAGACAATTGTTGAAGTGTAAACCCAATATAGCATTTACAAAAAAGTAACTGCAACAAAAAATGGGTATCAGGATGGGCTGTCCTGGGAAAGTAAAGACGGCCGGCGTAATGCTGACCACATTACCCACCGAGTGCCGATTGGTCTGTAAAAATATGGGTGCTCTTCCCATATGCCCGATGCGCCTAAAGGCGTGTAAAGGGATCTTTACTTTACTTTTTTTTAAACTGCAACAAAAAGTCAGTACAACTTACCAACTTCAACCCCTGGGTTCTAAATTCATCGAGTTTTTCTTGATATTTGATCACAGCTCGGGAATACTGAAATGCACAAATTATGTCATGATCAGGTAGATGAAACCTTTGTGTCGATGTGCATTGTGTGTACTTTCTTTGTTTTGAAGAATACAGAAGTACATTATTTAGCAAGCTTGCGAGCCAGTTTGCCGGTTCAGAACTCACACGCTCGAAAACCTTACCGATTAGGGTTAATATGTATTTCTTTCTTTCTTTGCTTTTTTTTTTAACCAACTGGATGTATCAAGTAACACTAGACAGTCGTAATATTCACGACGTTGTTCTATATCTTTACCATCTATTATTAAGCGTTCCAATATTATAATTACCTAGCACGCTTCACATTATCTAGTGTAAGAAAAAGACCCGCTTTAGCAATTTAGCGACTAAAGAACAAGAAAAACGTTTGACAAAACACCTGCAAGTACTTTAAAGTAAAAGTTTGGAGATCATGCCAATTTGTTTCCTCTTTCACTTGTAGATGTTATCATGGACTTATACTTAATCTTTGGAGAAAACAAATCAGAGCTTTTGAACTGAACTGCTTCAGAGAAATTCGGCAAATACTGTGGACCAAGAAGAAGACATCCCGCACATCTGAGGCTCGACGAGAGTTGGCTCCAAAAAAACATTCTGTCCCGAAAACGGAAATACTTTGGCCGTGTTAGACGTCCTTGGTAAGGCAGGTAAGGCTATCCTCTCTCAATGGAGAAGTCAGGTACACACAGGACTGGGGAGCTAGCATTTACACACAGGACTGGGGAGCTGGCAGGTACACATAGGACTGGGGAGCTGGCAGGTACACACATGACTTGGGAGCTGGCAGGTACACATAGGACTTGGGAGCTGGCAGGTAGACATAGGACTGGGGAGCTGGCAGGTAGACATAGGACTGGGGAGCTGGCAGGTACACATAGGACTGGGGCCTGGCAGGTACACACCGGACTGGGGAGCTGGCAGGTATACATAGGACTGGGGAGCTGGCAGGTACACATAGAACTGGTGAGCTGGCAGGTACACACAGGACTGGGGAGCTGGCAGGTACACATAGGACTGGGGAGCTGGCAGGTACACATAGGACTGGGGAGCTGGCAGGTACACACATGACTTGGGAGCTGGCAGGTACACATAGGACTTGGGAGCTGGCAGGTAGACATAGGACTGGGGAGCTGGCGGGTAGACATAGGACTGGGGAGCTGTCAGGTACACATAGGACTGGGGCCTGGCAGGTACACACCGGACTGGGGAGCTGGCAGGTATACATAGGACTGGGGAGCTGGCAGGTACACATAGGACTGGGGAGCTGGCAGGTACACATAGGACTGGGGAGCTGACAGGTACACATAGGACCGGAGAGCTGGCAGGTACACATAGGACTTGGGAGCTGGCAGGTACACATAGGACTGAGGAGCTGGCAGGTACACACCGGACTGGGGAGCTGGCAGGTACACACCGGACTGGGGAGTTGGCAGGTACACACAGGACTGGGGAGCTAGCAGGTACACACAGGACTGGGGAGCTGGCAGATACACACAGGACTGGGGAGCTGGCAGGTACACATGGGACTGGGGAGCTGGCAGGTACACATGGGACTGGGGAGCTGGCAGGTACACACAGGACTGGGGAGCTGGCAGGTACACGTAGTACTGGGGAGCTGGCAGGTACACATAGGACTGGGGAGCTGGCAGGTACACATAGGACTGGGGAGCTGGCAGGTACATATAGGCCTGGGGAGCTGGCAGGTACACATAGTACTGGGGAGCTGGCAGGTACACACAGGACTGGGGAGCTGGCAGGTACACATAGGACTGGGGAGCTGTCTAGTAAAGAGAAACATGTTCTGTACAGGACCTGCTGATTGATGCTGATATGTGGTAGCTTTTCTTTCTATGTTGCTGTCTGTATTCATGCATAGGCTATTAGTTCACATGCAAGTGCGATATGCCTCAGATATTGTTAACTCATTGTAGACAGTTGAAAGTTTGTGTTTGTGTGTGTGTGTGTTTGTGTGTGTGTATGGTATTCTCTTACCAGCGGAAAACTGCAGTGACCGCCTTTACGTCAATTCTTAAGCTTGATGTCGTGTTATCATGTTCTAGGTTCTCCTGCAACAAACGCCGACCATTAACCTTTGGTAAGAAGCCCCAAGCATTTCTTTTGCCTCTTGACACTGAACCGTCTGTGTAAATAATCAAATTCTCTAAGCGAGCATTATCTTGAATTAATTGCCGAATTTGCACCTCTGTGACACCTGCTGGCCAGTCTCTGCATTCCCGGCTCAGTGTGGTTATGCTCCTATACAAGTCTGAATGTTCAGGTGGCACTTTGACCTACTCCTCTCCTCGCCTA